AGCAAAAAAAATATATAAAAAAATTAATAACAAATATAAATGAAGCGAATAACTAAACTATGTATATATAAAATTATATAACTTAATAAATAAGCACATAATTAAATAACAAACTCATGAGTACAAAAAAGATATTTTAAATAAATAAGTTAAAAAGAAAATTATTTCATAAAATATTAAAATAATTAAGTAAATAAATAAAGAAAAAATGAATTAATAAATAATTGGACAATATTTTTTGAGAAAATTATAAAAAATATGTATTAAAACAAACGAAAAAAGGCAATCAAATAAAAAAATATAATTATTAAATAATTAATAAATATATATGTATAATTGGTGCTTTGTGACCGCTGAGGCGATAAGCAAATTAAAAATAAGAAAATTAAATATTTATTGAAAAATAATTAAAAAACAAATAATTAAAAAAAAATACAAATAAAAGTATTGAAACAAATTAATATTAAATATATATATATATATTTGTATATGAAAAAATAAACAATTATATAATTATTTAAAAATAAATAAATATAATCAACAAATTTGTCTATTTCTAGAGTCTGAGTTGCAAATATAAAAATTCTACTGATGGGAGTTAATATTATTGATATTTCATGAATTCTGCTAAACGTACAAATTCGAATTAAAGTAACATCCGAACTGAACTGCGCCAATTTAATTTAATTTCCGGCCCGTCGGTTGGCTTAACACTGAAATTTTAAGGAATTTGAAAATCAATACAGCAACAGAATTAGCAGAATTTTTAATTACGCTCTGTGAGCCTCCTCTATAGAATATGCCAACAATAATAACGCTTCTAAATTATAAATATTACTTATTTATAAATATTTGATGGTCTTTTGTTATCAATTTTAAACTAAAATAAACATAAATTTTTAGTTAATACTTATGAAACAATACAAACAAATTGAAAAAATTGAGATTTAAATTTGATATGAAAAGGAAAGAGCGCAATGTATTCAAAATTTTCTTTAAACTCACATTCTTTATTAATTAAAATTTGTTTATTAATTTCCAGGAATAATGATTAGACATAAAAATTCTCTTATCAAAAATTTTCAAAAAAATATAAGCAAAGCAAATATATATACAATTATTGATATGCAATTATAGGAAATATGAAATATAATTTTAAATTATTAAATACAAAATCTAGTTTTCGTTTTATTTGTATGACGTTAACTGACAATTTTTAATGAAAGCAATGCAAGTGAAAAATTGAAAAAAAAATATAAAAATTGCACTGTTGAATGATTTAAACTAACACGTTTCAAGGTATAAAATTAAATTTAATTATTCCAAGTGTTTAGTTAATAAAAAAATTCAAAAATTTTGGATACTTGGATTCATAACGACCACTCAACTAAGTTTTTGGACCCTCTCGTGGGTCACTATCGCTGCGTGTAGTCTGGCGTTGTCCTAATGAAACACAATTTCACTCCTGTTGGCCAAAGCAAATTGCGAACTTATAGCTTGGCCAAAGGAAGCAGCTCATAGTGAGTGATTTCTGAACAATTCCACCAAACTCACAACGAAATCAACCATGCGGAGAATTTTTGTGCATCCAACCCTTTTCAAGTTGTTCTAAATTTTTTTTTTTGTGAATGTTTAGCTTCTGGGCAATCAACACAGTTCTCGCATGATGGTCAGACTTTATGGTTTCCAATATTTTATTAACATTTTCGGCAATCATACATTATTGACTGCTACTATAAACACTTTTGACATTTTCAACTGCCTCACCTGAGTTTTCGCCCTTAACCTTGCTGGTGCCCCACTTTGACATGCAATCAAACATTATTGAATTAAGTGATCAACACTTCTGCTGCTATCACACTTTAGTAAAAAATAGCATCTCTCTACAGAACGCTAGATATAGACCACTAAAGCCATATGGTGCAGACATTATGGATTATTTTTTACTGGATTAAAAAGCTCTTCTAGAAATCGGGAGATGAAAACAAGTCTGAGTTGAAGTCCTATTAATTTTATTTTATTTGTTATTTGACAAATACTGACGACCCATATATTCCTTCTAAAGTGTGGTATTATTCCTTTAGCAGATTGGGAACAATTTCAAGCTTCCCATCTTCAAAAGGATATTTTGCTTATGAAAGGATCTAAGCGCACTTAGAAACAACAGTAAAATATTATGCTAATTTTTTATGAGAAAAAATCTCACATAATTTGTAGTAGCATGCCAATATTATTCTGAAATTACCGGAATGTATTTATTCTTCATCATGAAAATGACAAAATTATCAGATTTTATCGAATTCTATCCAATGCACAGTGATCGAATTAGGTAAGGTCTGTGTTAGAAACTAAACTTAACTTTTACTCTCTCGCATTCATACGATGTACGAACAGCGATAGGAGGGAAACATAACAGCATGAGAACTATACAATAAACTGGGCTTTAGGTGATCTACAAATGTAAAAAGCTTAATTCTGATTGTCTGGCGGTTCAACCCATAAATTTGGCATTTTCCGGCAAGCGAACTTGTGACCGACCTGTCAAATCCATTTTAAATCATTGCATTTTCATAAAATTCAATACATTTGTAGCTTTTTGCCTAAATTGTCATAGAAACATTTTTACTTATTTTTCCGGAAAGTAGACCCGCTACACATCTATTAGAATTCATAGCAATGTTTTTCGAATTTACCGACTAGATTGCTAAAGTATTCAAATTTTCTTTGTGATAATTGATATATTATAAAAAAAATAAATAGCGTACAAAATCTGATTAAAAATATTAAAGGGTGGTTTTTTAAAAGCTATAGGAAAGTTAAAAAAAAATCCATAAAATTCAGAAAAATGCAAGAAATTTTTATTTAAGTCGAAAATACGGTCCATATAACTTAGTGTTTGAATATTAATTCATGCAAATGTTGACCTTGACTACGCCTCAAATGATCTATCTGCTTAGTCCAATTTCGACATAATCTTTCCAACATTTCGGCCGGCATCTCACGAATAAATGCTTCAATCGGCAATTCTGCTTATTTACGCAGCCGTCGAGCTAAAAATGAGCTTCGTCGCTGAACATACTTTTTGATAAAAAAAAGTGGTTCTTCGGCCATTTTTCCACCAAAAATTCTGCGCTGCGGTGGGTCGTTCGGCGGTTTGTAAGACGAAACTGAGGTCGACTGCTTTCAACAGCTGCTGCATATAGACTGGGCTCATTTCTGACTTAGTAACAAAAGACAGTGCTACCAACTTAACAAAAAAAAAATATTCATCGCGAACAGTTTAAATGATCATTTCCGGAAACCCTTTCTGGTCTTAATATATCATAAAAACATTAAATTATAATATTAAAAATCGCGCTTAACCGTCTTAAATTATAATGAATATGCAACAGAAAGTATTGCTATATATCTTACCAATTTTTATGTAATAATTATTATTGATATTATTATTGTTTTAAAATTATTGCTCTAGCAACTCCAAACAACCACTCAACTGGGTATAACTATTTTTTTATAATTTTATATTGGTGTGGTAAAAAGAAATACATTATTTTTGCATAAAATTAATTTTTTCTTTTCGTACTTTTTATGCCACTTTCAATTTTTGAAGTATGTTCTTCACGTTTCGAAAACATTTGAAATAAAACAAGAACAAGTAAGGAGTTTAGAAAATAAAGAACGATATCTTATAAGGTGACATAATATTCAGTGCGGTTTTTGTAGGAAAACTGTAGAACTGTAAAAAACCGAAAACAGCTGCTAGTGATGGAAATACTAAGAAAATTTTTCAATGATTACAGAAAAACTCCTAATAAAAAATTTTGCTGCAATCTTATCATAAGGGCATAAAAAATGAATGTGGAAAAATTTAATATATTGTGAACTTGATATTGCTAGTGAACTAGCAGCCCAACATTACTGGAATTATTAACTTCCTCCATTAAATTTTAACTCACGCTCTAAATATCATTCAGTATGTATTAGTTTTAATTGCAGAACTCTCTGAAGAAACTGGTGAGCCAATTAATAAAATGAATTGATAACGCATCGCTGCAAATCAGGACTTCTTTAACTGTTTAATTCTGTATTCAGATCCTTTGAACAAATTTCAATGTAAAATTAAAACGATTTTATTAAAATTAGCTTTTGATTCATTAAGTTAATTAATAATAAATTTTTAGATTGGAAATGGAAGTGTTTTTGGCCGCTGATTCCTTAGAAGACCGACCACTTGTCTTTTTCCGTTGCATATAACCGTTAGTCGAACAAACCTAAATTATTCTGCACAGCACAGTCAAGTATAAAAATATCTGTGTTGTGCTGAAAAATTTTTGAAATGTTTTCTCTCTATTTATTTAATATCACCAAGTAATAGAAGAAATAAAAATATTTTCCCTCAATTACGAGTGTTGTTGTTTGCCGCCTTTCAACCGAAATAATTAAATACATGCATTCTGCAACAGTTTGCAATAATAATAAGAATTCCGGCAATCAACTCAGACTCTTGATTTGAAAAAAAAACAGAAAAAAATGCTACAATATTTTATTATTGTCATTTATGCTTTGTCTGTGTGCGCATGTCAATTCTGGAAATACTAAAAGTAATAAAGATGATTATTTTTAACCAAGTGATCGTATACTAACTAACTTAAATACATATGTATGTACATATGTAGCGCAGCAAAACAGCACAAAACGGATGAAATGAATGAGAACAGACAGAGGAGAAAACAAAAATAAACAAAAGTTAATAATTATTATAAGCAATGCAGTAACTGCAGAGCGATCAGCTGGCGCTTGGAGACCGAACAGCCGGTCGGTGGTGAGAGTAAAAATGCTCGCAAGTTAAACGCGCTCACTCAAGCGTTGATTTGGAGAATATTTTAAGCTCAATTCCACACGCCACCGACGCTTTGACTGTGAGATAGTCTCCAAAACTGAATTTTTGTAGAACTGAAAAAAGATCAACAATAAAGTCGATTTGAAACTCGGAAGCTCAATCGAAGCTATGTTTAAACGCTGATGGTTGGGCTATTATCAGTCGTGGACACAGCTGTGGCAGTTGTACAAGCAGAAATCGTCAGACGGTGCTCAACACAAAGCGTGCAGTGATTAGCTTGAACGAAGTGCTCGAAGAAGACCCCAAATGATAAAGCAAAGAAAATAAATGCATGAATATAAAAATTAATAAAGAACTGAAAAAGCGAATTGAATAGCGAAATAATAAAAAGAAAAGTAGAAAAAAAAATTATAAAAAAATAAATATAAATATTTCTGATAATTATTGCTTATTCGCTTTTAAGCAAAGTAGGAAGTACTAATCTTGCGTGCCTTTTCGGTTATTATTGTCCGCATATTAAAGCACATAGACGAAAATATATATCTATATATATTGCGCGGGTGTTAAACAACCAGCGGAAATATTAGCTTGAATTTTAAAATTTTTTTTTCGATTTTTCGTCGTTGTGGTGAGCTTAGTGCACGTGTTGATGTCGCGAATGTGATAAGAACGCATAAGAGTTAACGATAAAACAGAAATAAAAGTTAGTAATAATCAAAATTTACTACGCCAAATTACTTAAGAAATATACGAAAACAATCGCTAAAAACATTAAAACATTAAAAAAAATTATATATATAAACTAAGAAAATAATTTTTTTTGGTTTTGCTGATTTCGTCACTTGTGTGCCTGGCTCTGGTTGGTTCCAGTGCGCACGCGAACGGTGTGTGAGCGAAGTAAAGGCGGTTTTTTCTCTTTCCTTATTTTTTATTTACTGACAAAGCGTTTTACGCTGATCCAAAAGCTTTAAAATGTTTAAAATGCGCCAAACTTCATGGTCTCTGAGACCGGCATTGCCGCTTTTGATGCTGGCGTTTTTCATGCTGGTGAGTGCAAAAACAACAATAATAAGCAGTATTGTTTAATGCTTTTTTTCATGTTTTGTTATGTTTTGTTTACCTTTTATCATCTTCATAGCATCGCTTTTATTATATTATTAATATTTTATTATTTTTCTTATTTTATGGTTATTGTTTGTTACTTATTCATGCTGTTTGGTAAATAATGCATGGGTTGTATATATTTACTATATGTAAATAAATATATCAGCATGCGCGCTTGTAAATTATTGGATGTTTTGTGTAAAGCTTTTGAAAATTTAATATAATATGGGAAATGATGTCTGTCAAGGACGGTTACTTTTAGCGGGAATTTATTATTATTAAAATTTAATATTCCAATTATGATTATTTGAGTAAAGATGGTGCCAAATGTGGATTTAGTTTACAATTGTGAGATACAAGTAATCTGAATCAATATCTCTTAATGATTTTCTTTTTCTTAATTAAGGAAAATTGAGAAGTACAATAGATTGCGTTTAAGCACACCTCACCGACCGAAATTTCTACAGTTCTATTTTTTCTCAACTAAAGGTTTCTTGTTTCATTAACTTTTTGAAAAAGGTTAGAACAACAGATACATGAATTTATTCTCCACTTTTTTATACCAGCTTTTCTGACAAAAGTTGTCTGTCAAATATTTTCTGTGAAGAATATTTTATATTTTCGAGAAGAATACAAAACCAAAAACATTATTTTACTCACTTCTTTGGTTTTTTTTAAAATTAAATGCAAAGTGAGGAAAATAATATTTAAGACATACATTAAATGAAGATATTTATAATAAAAATCAGTAAAATCTACATCAAAATATTGTTCATAAAGTCTTAAATTTTCAAAATCTGCATATATCAAAAAGTTACCGACCGATTGAGCTGGATTTTTTCAAATTGTTTCTAAGGTTCGTGGAAGAGCTTATACGATATTCGCGAAGGCTAACCTATTCGAAAATTTTTTTTTACTTGAATTTCGGTATATAAGTGTCTTTTTAATACATAAGCTGGACCAAATTATTCGAAAAAATATTTTTTATGATTCGAGTTACATGAAATTCGTTACATGGATGAGTTGAGTTGAGATGATGTGGCTGCTGGTCAACCCCAGCACACTTAGGACAAAAAGGCCCATTGTGATACCGCTGGGGCTACTTCACCTTCTCAAATGATGGAACCATTCCGTGTGCCTTATATAGTCAACGAGATTTCCAATGCTCACTGAGGCCAACTCAGCGAGACAGTCGAAGGAGTGTTTCGCAAGAAACCTGTGTCGCGCGGATGTCAAGGGTGGACAGTGGCAGAGGTAGTACTCGATGGTCTCCTCCTCTTCTACGTCCCTACATCCACGACAGAAATTGTTACAGTGTCCAGTTATTATACCTGCCGCCATGCTAACGAAGAACCGGTCCAGAAGAATAAGATGCTTAGATTTTCCGCGTACAACTTTGGCCACGCGTACAACTTTACACGTGATCTCGTTCAACTATCGTGAGTCAGTTTCCCTGGTGAAAGACAGTCGAATCATATGCTTAGCCGTGGACAAAGGTAAACCAGCATCATGTCCGTGTTTTATCGTTGTTAGAAGGGTACCTTCTATTGTTTGTTCGCCTGTCATGCTATTGACTGTGATGTTATTGTGTCCATATACCCAGACGACGGTATTACTGTACTTCGTTGAAAGTTTGTTGAGAGTGTTACTACAATTTATGGCCACTTTTGCCGTGGTACCGTTACATTGAGGAGATCTGCTTGCAACCTGACTATCGGAATAAAGTGTTACTGATTGTCCTGCTGCCGTAGATTTGTGCAACCATTCTGCGGCCTCCATGATTGCGAATAGTTCCACCTGGAAGACGCTGCAATGATCCGGTATACTCTTGCTTATGCTTACTAAAAGCACGGGAGAATGAATTCCACAACCCAGCTTCGAAGCCGTCTGTGAAGTTGGCTATTGCTCCTTAGTCGGGTGCGTTGGTGTTTTCCCACTCGCATCTATTTGGGATTCTTGTTGAGAGAATAATATCGAAGCATACACTTTGTGTTTTAAAAATTGACCAGAGACCTTAAGCATAATTCGATTTGATGGATGCGTGGAATCATCATGGATTTATGGGAAAAGATTTACCGACTGGTTGACAATAATTTTTATAGTTTGAATATATAAGCATGGATCATTCGTAAAGATGTTGGCTTTGCATTTTTATTAATATGCGGCTGCGGATTACAAGACATCTGATACGTTCAACTTGAGTTGGACTAATTAAGCATTGATCCGAATGGTGAGTTAACCTTACGTCGCGACATTCATATTGATTCGTGAAAAATTTTGTGCAGCGTTGAAGTGATACTCACCTATGAATAAGAAGCTATATCAATAACATAATAATAAACCTTAATATTTCTACTTGGATTATGCTTAATTAGGCGTTGTACCGTTCGTTGCGATTAGTATTCAATTTGAACAAAATACAGAATGTGTGACTGGGTCTGCTCTAGTTGAATATATTATATTTTTTGGGCAGTTTGTCCTTAGCTAACAAAAGATCAAAGTATAAAGTGATTTTTCTACACAAGAGTCTATGATTAAATTAATTCCCTAAAAAAAAAATAAATAACAAAAAGACTTTTTAATGATTTTAATTATTCTCTGATCATAATATCATTGGCTACAATAAACGCGTTCCTGGTTCTTAATTTGAGCTGTATAAGGAACAAATGATAACAAAATGAAAAAGCTTCAATCATCAAACAGCAGTTTTACGACTCGGCCATCGCATCACTGTTGACAGTAATAACTTGGAAGTCATAGATAATTTCATCTTGCTTTCAACCAGTATTAACACCAACAACAAACAATATCATAGTCTGGTTCGTCTTCTTGCAATGCACATTTCAATCGAATTTTATTTTTTATATTTTACTTTTCGAGAAAAAATATCGTTCACTTTTCAGCATTCATGGGCTTTGAACTGCTGGTACACTTTTATAGAAAAGATTTTATTTCATTTTAGCAATACACTCGTGGAGTTTGATATTCTCTAACGATGTGCTACTGCAATTATTTCAATATCCCATAACTTTGAACCTGGTCTGGCCAGGATTGCCTTCACATCACATTTTTAAAAATATATAAAATTTTTTTTCTTATGGATCATACAATATATTTATAAAATTTTAGAAATCAATATCATTTACTAAATTAGCAGTGTAAATGAACTTAATTCAAATATAGATAAATTGACAACACATTTTTTTATTCTAGTCCTATGTATATATCTCGGGGTTGGGCTTGCGTTAGTACAACTTCGTTCTCTATGGGTGGAGTATAATTAACAGCTCAATAGGGGGTGGTTAACTGTGACTATGACGTTTACGCTGGAAGTACAGTACTTGTATATAGGGATTTATTATGACCTAGTCTAAGGTGATTGAATTTTATAAAGTCAAGTCGTGAAAGATTTTTATTTTTTTTTATAGCACGTGCATTAGATGAACTTTTGTCTAATTGATGCTTTTGTACCAATCATTGGTTAGGTTCCAAACGAGGCGAGAGGAAGTATTGTTTGATATGGTTTTCAATATCTCTCAAGTTTTCTGTACTGATAACTGAACCTTGGTTTGCTTGCTGGGCGGCTTGTTTGGCAAGACACCTATATTTGTATGATTTTCCTGAAATTCGGGCTGGGATAGAATATTTCTGGTTTGGCTGCTATAGTAGCTATTGTAGTTTATATCGGCTATGGAATTAAGAGCAGAAAGTGAGTCTGAGAATAAAGCAAAGCGTTTCCTTTTGGGTTTTACTAGGTTTATAGCTTCAGTTATAGCTATAATTTCAGCTGGGTATATTGAATGATGTTTTCATAGTTTAATTTTTTGAGGTTATGCTATATGAAGTGCTGTGTTTAGTTTTGTATCCATCAGTAAAAACGTATGTGTGGTTATGGTATTAGTTTTTGATCGCATTGAACATCGACTGAAGCTGATGAGAATTTATGTGGCATTTGTTAACGGTATGAAGCGCAGTGTTAATTGTTTTTGGGCTAAGGAAACAATAAATCACTTTTTCTGTAAGCGTATAGCTCTCTAGAGAGATCGACACAGAATAGTTGGTATCTACGAGGTGTGAGGATTGCTGAGACCTTTAGTTAGCTTTCCCTTCTCCCGTCATCCTTCTCCTCTTCATTGATATATTTGCCATCGCTCTAGCTTGTTAGTTCGCCTAATGTGTCACGTTGAGTAAACGTGTGTTCGTGTTGCTCGTTACGAATGACCGTCGTAGAAGACTGTTCGGAACAAGTGCAAAACGATGCCACACTGCTTGATCGAGTTATTACAGACGATGAGAACTATTTGTTTTTCAATACGACCCGGAAACCTAATGCCAAAGCTCTCAATGGTTGCCTCTGCACGCGCCCCTGCCCGAAAAAAGCCCTCTTTTGATAGCCGTGGAATCGTTCACAAAGAATTTCTTTCACCGGAGCAAACCATAAATTAAGTCTACTATCGCCAAGTTTTCGAAAGGTTGCGAAAACGAGTCAACAGCGTGCGTCCAGACATCGCTCGCAACTATATCCTTCATCACAACAACGTGCCGTGCCACACCGCCCTCAGCGTGACCCAGTTTTTAGTCTCTAAAGAGATCGCAGTATTGCAACAACCGCCTCATTCGCCCAATTTGTCATCCTGTGACGTTTTTTTGTTCCCAAGAACAAAATTGGTGATCAAAAAAACCTATTTTGAGTCGATCGAAAACATTCAGGCGGCCGTGATGAGGATACTCGCGGACATTCCAGTCGAAGCGTTCCAAAAATGTTCGGTTTTTATGAAAACAGTCTCATTACTTAATTGTCACAACTCGTATGAAGTACCAGACCATGATTAGCTATGCACGACAAGCCAAATGGTTTGAACGTAATAATGAAACGTGATAGTAGAAATATTATAAATATTAAGATCTTACGATGGTGCTTCATATTGATCTCTAAGTGCTTA